GATTTTTTTATATTCTTTTGAATTTAAATTTGGTTTTAAGTTCAATAATTTAGCATAATTTTATATATAGTTCATAATAATAATAATATGATTCAGTATTTAGAATTGTAAGCTTGTGTGATTTGTACGCAATACTACTAGTACCAGTACCACATAAGAATTTTATATTTTTCCTTCTTACAATCTTTGCTTTGTAGTAAGACCCACACTTCTGGTTTTATTGCATTAGAATTAAAACAGACTAACTGATATATGTGTGTGTGTATATATATATATAGTTTATTCTGATATTTTGCAAATGGTTCAAACTCAGTGTACAAGTGACAACAATAAAGCCCATATGTTGGTTGTGAAACAGGCTAATTACATTCATCTCAGTAATACAGGGAAGCAATGAAGAGCTTAAGTTTCGCATTCCAACATGGATCTTGCCTATAATGAGAGGAATGTGACCAGGACTAATCTTTTAAGTGCTGTAAAGTAATTTTCTTTGTAATTTATGGTGTCTGTATTGTTTGGTAATCTCTTCTAACAGGATGTATCAAGTAACAAGGGGTCAGGCTCAGGCGGTGTTTATTGAAACCACCTGTACTATAAACTGTTACATACATTCGTTAGTAGTGGCAATTAGTTTTGGCTCTATTCTGAAACAACATACACAGACATATGTTGAAATAAACTTGTTTGAAAGTTCATAGAAATGATATTCAAGTACCGAAAAGCTTTCTTACTATCATATCTACAGTAACGTTCAAATGTGCCCACGCTCAGTTGAATGAGAGTGACCACCAACAGGGGTGAGATAGTTTACGGAAAACGTACAAAGTTCACGCTGCTGACCCCACAGTTTATTTGGCACAATAAACAAAAGTACGACTGCAATGAAACATAAACATAAATTTGAAATAAAAATATTTTTATGAAACAAAATTAAAATGTTTTTATGTACAAATATAAACATGAAATCCTTGTTAAAAATAAAAATACTCATTTATTGTTTAGGTTTATTTACAATATTATTTTTGGGTCTGTATATTACTTGAAACCATAAGAAGAGTATGTGATTATTAAAAAAATTAGAAATAGATAAAATTTGCATTTTATGGAGGATACAATTTTGGGGGGATTTCAAAATAATGTACTAAAACAAAAAGTAATAAGTTCAATTCTGGAACAAATATAAATTACATTAGGAAATGGTATTTATAAGAAATGATTACGATATTTAATATCTTGGAAAAGAACAAAGTTATTTAACAGTTAAACAACAAACCATACCAACAGTGTACCTGAACGAAGTTATTTAACAGTTAAACAACAAACCATACCAACAGTGTACCCGAAGAGCGAAGTTATTTAACAGTTAAACAACAAACTATACCAACAGTGTACCCGAAGAGCGAAGTTATTTAACAGTTAAACAACAAACCATACCAACAGTGTACCCGAAGAATGTATAGGTGCAACAAAAAATTATCTTGAGCTCAATTCTTCCACACACATTCAAAGAACAATTTTTTTTGAAAAGTTTTATTGGTTGAGTACATCAGGTTATTAAATATATATCTTCAAAATTAACTTGCGATCACATATTTCTAGCAGATTATTTACTGATCTTCAAGTTTAGTTTAATGTTTAATTACCAACAACATGAATCCGTTTCGTTAAGCTTCAAGGGACTGTTTGCGAAATAACATATGTAAAGTCGAGAGACAGTGTCAAATAATCACTGCCAATTGAACTGCTATGCTTCAGATTTTCCTTTCTATTGGAAACGTCTTATAACCTAAGTCTTCAGAATTTAAATAATAAAAACACTAGCTTACCTAGTACTTACTTACCAATACAAAATACACATACACTTATAATCGAGCAATTGGAAGCAACGTAACAGTACTTCTTGGAATGTTTGTGTAAGGGAACGGCTAAGTTTCTGTTTGTTTCGTACCCAGCATAATCTTTATCATCATATACATTAGATTTCATATCAGAGTAAACAATATAAAGAAAGTAATTCACTATTTAAATATTTTATCTTTGTAATGCTATACCAACGATTTTAATTATATAAGTTTAACCCAACTGGGAAAAAAAAAACCTCAGTCATGTTATACTTAACTGAAGCTGTTGCATCTCACATGTTTACTGTTTTTATCAACGAGCAATAAAAACAAACAGTGCTTGAAAAGCTAAGAACAAAAGTAAGTTTCCAAATTACCTGTCTTCTAGGTTATGTGTTATACTTGCTTACACTAGGCATGAAAGTTTTTTTTTCCTTCTAACGTGCATGGTAGTATCAATTTATCATGCTTAAAACCTTCTTGACTTTTTAAAATTATCTTCCCTAATAAACGTTTGCGGTATTATGTATTATATTTCTAGAATACAAATCATAAAAACAAATACCACAATTCACTAGCATGTATTAAGTTGTGCAAAAATGTTATTTCGAATGCAGAAAATACAAAACAGCTATCTTATTACCACATACAATTAACAAAACCTTTTTCATAATCATTACTCATGTTTTTGAACATTATTTTAATATTAAAAAATTACAAACACCATCTAAGTCAATGGAAAGAGATTACTCTTGTTTATTGCTCAAATTATATGAACAAAAGAAAAATCAAACTCACAAAGATAGCAAACTATTCCATAAATCTGAATCTTGAGCATTAACCAGATATAAAACTAACTAGTAAATCTGTTTATCTTTCAATATGTTAATCAGAAAAATGCAATTATTCAATACTTTTGAACTTAAAAATAATAATAATTTGTTTTGTTTATAAAAGCTTTAGCAAAAATTTGGTCGAATTTTACTTTAAGTGGTGGAATATTAAAATAACCAATAATAAAAATTTCCAAGCATCTTCACACCACAAGCTTTCTGATTATCTTTATTTGCTAATATTATAAATAGTGCGTAATATTTACTAAAAGATGCAACACTTCAATGTCTATACAAGTAATTCAATACATTAACAATTTGTTTTTAAACTAGAACTGTAAAAATATTAAAGATCAAAAAATCTTACCATATAAGAATTACAATAATGTAAATAATGATCACTTTTTTATCTTTTGAAAGGGAAGCTATTCAGAAACTACATTTAACCTTTATAACCAAAATATTCTTACACATTGTACAACTAAAAGTTTTTTTTTGGTTCTTTCTGAGCATAAAAAAAATGTATATTACTGTAAAACATTACATTTATAGAACTTAATATTTTAAAAGAAAAAAAAAAACAAAAAGACATTTGAACAAAGTAAAAGCTTCATTGTGTGTGTGTGGTTACATCAAGCTAGTTTTCCGACTGTTTTGACATCAATCTTAAACACTATGTCCAATAAATCTTGAACAGAAAAACTCCATACCAGATTACACAAAGGAATTCATACATATAATATACAAATTTTACAGGCCTATTATAAGGAATGAAACAAATATGGTTCTTCAAACACTACTTTTTATCTTTTTTTAGTGACCACAGAGGATCCAGCTGACTAAAAGGATCTGATGGATCAGCTGTCTGAGAAGACAAGGATCCACTTGGATTCAAAAAACTATCTTTAGTGATCTTCTGCTTACTTGGTGATGCTACAACTGGGTCTAAACTGAAACGTGCAGGATCAAGTAGGCTTGTTAATGGTGATGGTTGAGTGTTTTCTCCTTCAGATGGTTCTGTGGGTGGCTTCTCCTCAGAAGCCTTTGAAACATTACCATCACTTGAGAAGGCACCCGATCTTGGGTCTCCTATTTCAACTTTTGGCTGTTCCAATAAACCTGTCTGACCAGTTGAATCCAAAATATTCTCACCAGGTGTCTCTTCAATCTGACCTGTAGAGCTTGAAACAACTTCTTCAAACTGTTCTTGGTTCTGAGAAGGCTCCTCAATTTTTGAATCATGTTCCTCAGATTTATCAATTTTAGATGGTTCCTCAACCTTAGAATCATACTCCTGAACTTCCAGCTTAGCCATATCAGACTGCAGTTTAGAAAGTCCACCCCCTCCAAGTATGAAATCTTCTGAAGGATGACGAGTATGGGTTCGCCCTGAACCTGCACATTGTAGTTTATCTTGAAATTTTCCTTTATTTGTCAGTATTCCACCTATATTCATTATAACATTATCAATTCAATTGCATACATTCATACAGAATCTCGATAATGGAAAATAAAGCAATAACATAAAGATGAAAATTTGATCCAGAACTACTAAACTGAAAATGAAGCAATTATCTGAATGTAGTTTCATTTTACTTTAAGAAGAGAATCTTGTATTTAGTTGATAATGTTCCATTGTACCTCTATGCTTTAACAATTATACTTGCACTAAAACTTGTAAAATTTATTCATATATTACTTACGCTTCATAAGGAGGTCCTGAGCATGGTACAGAACTGTTTCGTAACAGAACTTTAGCTGTTCCTTCTCCTGTAACAGGTACTTCCGCTGCTGATTCATGATGGACGCTACTTTCACAATATCCAGAGGTCCATGGCCAGCAGCCATTTCACGGACTGCTGCAAACACCAGACAGAAGACACCACTTCGTCCGATCCCACCACTACAGAAATTACCCAAATTCTTTACTCGGGATGATAAATTCAAGCATCAACAAAATTTTTCAAGGAACTGTAGGTTATGAATAAACATTTTATAAAATGTAGAATGTAATATATCTTTATAAAGCACTGGCAAAATTAATTTCAGATTACACATACACAAATTTACTGAAAAACAAAACTGTAAACCTGCAAAATAGAAAAATTAATTAATGTTATGCTGGCATTAGTAGACTTTCTGAAGTATTTGGTCTGTCCAATGCAACAAGTGCAAGATTAAAATAAATTCAAGGCTAAATTACATCCTTTTGGGTTTGATATATAAACTAGCCTAAGTAAAGCAATACCATTAATATGTAGACAACTGTTACAAAATAAATACAATCAATATGATGACCGAAATTCAGACCTTTGCAGTTCATATATTGTCATAAATTTATTATACAAACAATTTTTTAAATATAAAATCAATGTCATGATTATCTAATTTTAAACCACATAAATGTTAAAAGTTTAGTTAAAAGCTAAAAATATTTTATTAACAAATACAGTAATTTTAACTTACAAGTAAACTTTTCTGTTTTTCAAATATACAAAAATATACTTTAGTTGTTTACAACAAAATCTTTAATTTCATCATAAGCTCAAACAAACACATCAGCTACAAAACAACAGCACAGAGACCAAGTTTTCTCACCTGCAGTGCACAATTACGGGTTTTGCCAAGCTGCGTTGTTGCTGATAATAACTGTGAACCTCATTCACAAACTGCAGTAACTGAGGATTGCTAGGCATTCCACTGTCAGTAATAAAGCAAGTAATTTATGAACTAAATGTAACTACAGTAACTAAATCTCTCAATTAAAAAAAATGTCCACAAAAATAAGAAAGTAAGATGTGTTATAGCATCAGCAAACAAATATTCTAGAACATTGTAATGAAGGAAATATTGCTATTACCAAAAGAAAGAAATATGACTGAAGTTATTTGGGGATCTCAATGTAGACTGAAATACTCATTACGTATAAGTGCAACAATGAAAAACCATCAAATGTTGTTTTTCTCTCGATACGTTTCAATTTTACTTCATTGACTAAGTGGGACTTAAAGCATACTGCTTAGAATAATTAAAGAACGATTTGAATTTGTAACATTAGAAAAACAACAATGCAAAAACACCACCATAAAATAATATCAATCACCTCCTCATTCAATCTTACACAAATCAAGTATCTGATCATCAAGTCATGTGATCTGAATTGCATATAATTGGTCATTGTGTCTATGCTTATAAATGAAGATTTGGCAGATGAGAATTTACTTCTCTACAATTCATGACATTTCGCTTCTATATGAAACATGGTTACCACAAATAAGAACGGCAGCCTGGCACCAATATAATGTCCAGAATTATCTCTGCCACTCTTCCAAAAGAGCTGTTTATTGTCTGGAGTCACTTCACAGAATGTGATTTATCTTTGAAGTGTATCCCATGCATTTCTATGAGATTAAAGTTCAATGGGCATCAAGCCCACTCCATTTGGTCAATCTATACTTCTTTAAGGAATGTAATCAAACACCTTAATATGGCAGGGTGAGTGTTATCAACTACACTGAAGATGAGGACAACTGCATCTGCATACAGTAGCTCAGGAGGGTCACAAGATGTAGTCCCTATCAAGTATGATATAAACAATACCATTCTGCAGGATGTAGTTTGGTTAACTTACCAGAACTTACTACTACTCATGTAATTCTTCCACCACCACTATACAAGTCATATTTCTGTACAAAACTGGAGTGAATTTAACTTTGAATTCTCTCAAAACAAACATGTTATCTGGCATAACCTCTCTGTAAAAAGGATTACTGCTGTACACATTTTAAGTCCACTGAACATGCTCATGGAAATGGTAGAGGCAAGCTGTTTTGTATCTTGTCAGGAAGAGAATGAATCTCTCTGGGAACCTGGCATATAGGTTAACCTTGTGAAATTTTTCTAACCATCTATACTCTGACACTGCATCCAGTTGCAACTGTGAACATCTGATTCCTCTCGGAGTTTATATCCAAATCAACTGATTGTGTGAGCCAGAATTTACAGATTGTGTCATGGATGATAGTTTGTTTTTGTCCAGGTGTTTGAATAACCATACCAATTGGTTTGAAAGCAGTTCATATTCTGCTAACATCACTTGGAGTCAGTTTGCAACAGCTTGCTACAATTTACTGACTTTCATTTGTCTGATAGCTCTCTGCACAAGTAATAAATCTAAATGTCTTCTCTCAGGTCTATGAACAATAGTTCATGAACAATTTGGAGTACTTTGAACTTCATGAATTGCTTCAAAATGAAAACTGAATTAAGGCTCTATGAGAAAACTATAAATAGACTGAATGGTTATTAAGTTGCATTTCAAATTACATGACTAATCAGCAGATACCTGACTGTCATAATAATGAACTGAAGGGAATGATCAATTATTTTGTAATGGTCATTTTACCTTTTCATAGCCATAATAGTACAGGTTCTGATAATTTTTTGTTTTTTGAGCAGTGTATTATGAGTAATGATTGCTCTAGTAATATTTCACATAAAACCAGTGACAAATTTCATAGATGTACAAGATGACTAAATTGAATTTACATTAAATCATGAAACAGTTGTTGAAACAAACAATTTCACAACAAAAGTAAAAACTGAAACACGGGGGCTCTAATACCACTTTTATGGATACCCCCTAGTGATGATACAAGAATGAAGTGACTACATCAAGCAATAGGTAGGTTAAAATGATAAAATAAATAAATCCAACTTGTATGTATTTCCTTGGTGCTTTTTAACATAAAACTGTAGTTTGACTAACCTTGGTAGCCAAGTTGTATAATGCATGTGGATGATCACACGTGATATCTTGGTCTGCAAAAGAATAGAAAAAACATAGATCAAATTTAGCCCCCCACCAAAAATTAGATATTCAAGCTGTTTCAAAAAGTACAGTACTTACAAACAACCTTTGATTGAATGAAAGCAAAACTAAATTCCAACTGGTACTATAATAAAACAAATTTAAGTGGATCTTGGTGAAGCCATTCATCATTAGCAGTTAACAATACATGATTCAAATTAATTTAGTTACAATAGTAAAAAGCAATATACCAATCAATTAAAATCATGATAAATTATTAACAAAATCTGTGATTATACTGCTTTGGTTCACTACCAACCTTCTTATATGTTCGGTATGATTTTAAATCCATTTCATGAGATTAGGCAGCTTAAATACTTTTAAGAAAGACCTACATCCATATAACAGGCCACCAATATGAAACAACCATTCTATAAATATTTAGAAGTTTACAAACAATGAATGATATTTAAATGTACTAATCACTACTTAACAACATTTGATGAAAATAACAAGAGTAATAAAAGAGTATTATTTTCATTACTCACACACCAACAGAAGACATCAACTGATACTAAAAACTATTAATAAGAGTACTCGGAAACTTTCAACACGGCATTAACAATAACAAAAATACCAGCAACAATTATGCTTGAAGTCTTCATGAATGGTGAACACCAAAAATCAGTTAACTACTACATTTATTTTCCTAGTTGGGAATTAAAAACCTAGTTACTATAGCTGGAATTAGTTGTTTTTTTTGTTTTTTTCTCGCATGGTAAACTTTTGTTGTAATATTTGTGTCTATTTTTGATTTGCTTACCAGAACATAGATAAAGCTGATAATTTGTATTGTTAAGAACACAGTTTAAATTATGGTTTATTCACTAGAGTGATAGTAGTATTGGTGATAACTCTCAATGATGTGGTTTTTATTTTAGCTTACTAACCCACGTGTGAACAACATTACTAGGTGTAACTGAAAAAGCAAACACTTCATTTATTAATTTGAATGTTGGTAACCCTTTGACTATTAATAATGAGGTATATATATCTAAGCAATGTTGGTAATGATTTATGAATTTTATATATACTGTGGCTCACTTACCTGAACATGGGTAATATTGATAACTCGTTCAACGTGCAACTGTTTCTCTTTACAACTTTGTAAGTTGATAGTTACAGGTCCATGTTTGATAGACTGACCTCGTTCGGTAGGCCAGTACAGGGGAGGATTTAGCTGTAACCATGGAAACATATTTAAACCATACAGCTTGTATAATCATCAATAATATACCAAAGCAATGTCTTGATTAATCAAGATTAAAAACATTAGAAACTTGCATAATACTATCACTGAAATGTCTAACAAAATAACAACAAAGCCTAAATTTAATAACCACATGATATACTATATATAAATAATGCTTGAAACAAATACAAAATAAATTAGTCCCTGTTCTAACCTCTTGGTTACTTTGTAGGCAGATCACAACTTCAGCCTGCTGTTCCCATACCATAGTCCAGAAGTCCCCATATGCAGTGGAGAGAGGAGACTGTGTGACAATAAACTTTGGACTCATGGGAGTTATGTCCTGAAAGATAAACACATGTAGTTGTCTCCATATCTAAATAATTATTTTACATGTTTAGTAATTTAATAAGTTGATTACACAGAGCAGTTCACTTAGAATACTAATGCCTGCAAGCAACCATGTATAAACCATTACAATACTATGATGGTTTCAGATTTGTTATGGTTATGTTTCATTCACTAGACAATACTGGGTAAAATTAACGGTACATTAGTTGTTAATCTATTAGTGCACATAAAACACATTCACACACAAACACTTGAATATTTTAAACTTCTATTAAATGCAAGACATTTTAAAATAAACAGGTTATTTCGTTGTACGTTCTTGTTGAAAAATATTAAATATTGAGTGCTTTACTTACCAATACATAAGAAGCATTGATATAGTCATTTCGTAAGGATGTAAGTTGTACACGATTTTTGTCATCTAAATTAAACATAAAAACAACAATTATAAATCAAGTCTCTATAATTATGTTAACAGTGTCAGAAAATGGTTTTGGTTCCTACACAATTGTTAACTTATGACTGTATCAAACAAGATGTAAAATATAAACCAATAATAATCTTTAAACTATGGAATAAGTCAACTATAAATTAAAAACTTGCTTACAGGGAATGTATACACCATTTCAGGAATGGCGAAAGAAGAATTAATGTGATTACATAAAAGTCATGAAGGTCTTTTAAACAGTTTTTAGACTACTGACATTACCTTAAAATGTTTAACACCTCTGCTTGTTCAAATGCTTGATAATGAGAAACAAAGTAAAACACTAAAAAACAAAGCAATAAATCTATATACACTACTCCAAAGAAAGGTGTTATATCTGCTATACTAACCTGTACATTTGTAGAAGTAAATTACCTTTCTAGATTTTATTCTAACGACAAGTTTACTGTTTTACTTATCTGAGCAGTGGGGGATGAGAATTAAAGTTTGCAGATGATATTTAAAAATAGATCATATATTACATTAATCTGAACTGACAGAAAAGTGAGTTTATCTTTTTAGTTTCTTTTCTAATGACTGTTACCATACGTAACTACAAAAAACTCTGAAAACTTACAAGGCATGATATCAGGATATCTATTCTTCATAGGATAACATCGAGCAACAGAGATAGAACACTTTTGTGGATCACGCTCTTGGCTATTTTCTAAATCCTATTAAATTTAGATACAAACATAATCATCACATAACAATGTCTTCATTAAACATATTTCATACCTTACATATCACCTATAATCAATTTAGAGGTCTTGAGGTTATATTAATTTGAAAAGATTTCTTACTTGTGCATGTTTATTATACACAAACATTAGAAACATGACTTTATGCACTGAAAGCAGACACGTAACCTAGCAGTTTTAGTTGATAAAACAGTACTTAGAAAATCAGGTTGATGCATCTTCAGAAACTCATTATTAATTTACACTTAAATATAAATGTCATTTCCTATGCAGGTGAGATCCTTCTTTATTCTAATATAAAGGATCCACTGTTTTGACACCAATATGACATACATACTTTATAAAGCATAGAGCAGAATCTGATTTACACTATGATACCACAGAACACAGCTATAAACATTATCCAAGACACAAAACAGAATTATTATTACAAAATATTACAGCATTACAAACTGAAAAACTGGGACAGCCCAGCCCTTTCCCCCAATTTTAAAATGGTCCTTGTACTTTTTCTTGGCAGTGTGGTGTTTGATTTGCCATGAAGTGCTGTTGAAAACAGCTTTGTAAATATTGCACTCACTTGCCTTTAAAAAAAAAAAGGAAAGTTTGCTTTCAAAGTATCTTAAAAAAATATGCTTTCTATTCAGCATTTTCACATTATGATAGATTAAACATTTGCAATAATAAAAATATCTTAGAGAACAGTCCCTGACATTTAACCTTACATCATACACTCACCAACTACTATGTGTTTACTACAGTTCTGCTAACTAAAATACTAGCCTAGACTTGGGTTTCTCACCCAGGACAGATGAAACTTTCAACAGAGTTTGGCAGCAGGAGAGTATGCATTACAACAACATGCAAGTCAAGTAGGCCTGCTGAATTTGTTAATAAAAGTGAGTAACGGTTTAATGTCTTTATCATAAAACCAGAATATTTTGTGCAACCCAAGAACTTTTCTCGGGACATTGGGACAAACTACCAAAAAATGGGATGGTCCTGGCAAAACCAGGACATCCATTCATCTCAAGGCAGATCAGAATCATATTTGCAGAGCTCTATACCAAGACAACTTATAATTATATTTATAGATGGGCAATTAGTGGAATTTGCTAAATGATTGATTGTTTGGCTCATTAACTGATCACATTTAACTAATGGATTGTTTGTAAATAAAACAGTTAAAATTTGGAATAATTTAAAAGAGTAATAATTGGAAAGACCGATTTCAATTAGTTGACTATTTTTTTCAGCTATAACACAAATTGATTAAACTGAACAACCTTGAAAATAATAAGATCATAATGGCAATATTTCAATTACTATGATAGCTGAAATAATCAAAAACAGTAAAACTGAAAACGCTAATTCCATTGATAAATTATTTTACATGATAATTGATGAATCGATCTTCATGAGCTCATAAGTAATCCAATATATCAATTAATCACCTAGTAGTAGTCACATTACACAAAGGCAGGTTAAAATCACATTTACAGAACATCATAGAAAGATAGACGAGAATCATATTCACAGAACATTGCACCAAGACAGATGAGAATTATATTCATAGAACATTATATCAAGACATGCGAGAATCATATTTACAGAACACTACACCAAAGCAGGTTGGAATCCCATTAAAGGAACATTATAAATAACACAGATCAGAATCACATTATAAAATGCTATACCAAAACAGTTCAGAATCACATTATACCAAGATAGGTCAGGATCACGTTTACAGAACATTATACCAAGATAGGTCAGGATCACGTTTACAGAACATTTTACCAAGATACGTCAGGATCACATTTACAGAACATTATACCAAGATACGTCAGGATCACATTTACAGAACATTATACCAAGATACGTCAGGATCACATTTACAGAACATTATACCAAGATACGTCAGGATCACATTTACAGAACATTATACCAAGATACGTCAGGATCACATTTACAGAACATTATACCAAGATACGTCAGGATCACATTTACAGAACATTATACCAAGATACGTCAGGATCACATTTACAGAACATTATACCAAGATACGTCAGGATCACATTTACAGAACATTATACCAAGATACGTCAGGATCACATTTACATAACATTACACCAAAACAGATCAGAATTCTCTTACAGAATATTATACCAAGGCAGGTCATAATTCCATAACAGAACATTATACTAAGAAAGATGAGAATCAACAGAACATTACTCCATGTCAGAAAACATGTACAGAATATTATGCCAAAACAGAATCACAAAATACATTATACTAAAACATGTCTCACACAATATATTATACCACAAAAGATACAAATTATATTTACCAAAGACTAAACCAAGACATGTCAGAATCATACTGATGACATATGATACCAAAACATGTCATCTCACATTCTAAACATTGTTAAAAGCATGTTTCAGTAATCTCATGAAATGAAACATCAAGTGATTTAAGAAGTTAATGTTAACATTTTTGTATTTCACCAAGAGCTGTTACCTTGCATGCTCTGCTACGTAATTTCCTGAACATGTCACAAGCCTTGATAAAAGCTACCACCCCAACACATCAGTGCTTGTTGAGCTAGCCTATGATGTAACCATGATTAGACAATATCTCTTTCCATCAATAGAAGGACAACACTTCCTCCATGAACAGTAATCTCCATAAGCACTAGCATTGGAACAAAAGCTTATTCTTGACAAGGCAAAGGAAATGCACTGAAAGTAGGAAGGAAAGGTGGGAGGTATCTATCTGAAATAATATTTTTCTTTACTGGAAAAATGTAACTTCAGAAACATTATTCACCTCCCCGCACAAAAAAAAAGCAAGAATCCTACAATGCAGAGAAAGAAATTACAAAGATGAGCTCCCTTTTGAAAAGAACATTAAAAAGGGAAGGCCCATGGAGTGCGACACCAACAAGGTGCGAGATAGTTGCCTAGGTGGCAGAGCTAGGAGGGAGACTGCATCCATCTCAAACAGGGAATACTTTTGCCCTATGTTATTGTGGTATTTGTTGTTAGGAGAGGGAACAGAGCAAATGAAAATGTCATAAGAATCTTCTGCATGGTTGTCACTAAAGTGGGCTGAAAGTGGTACTGATCAACAGGCCATTACCTTACAGGCAGAAAGTGGATGTGAGTGTGTTAGTTGTTCTGTATAGCAGAAACAGTTGTGGGAGATGTTCATCACAATAATTAAATGTAGGGAGAAACATCCCATACTTGTGTTCTGAAGCAAACCCAAGACTCACTTAGCTGGACAATCAACAGAAATGGTTTGGTTCATAACGTAGTGGGGTGTTCTGTACTACACTATCAAGTAACACTTCAGACCTACTTCCCAAATGGTCACTCAATCTAGTACAAATGTGACCTAATGAGGAACTCTTTATATCGATTTCCCCAGGGTCTAGGGAAGCAAGTGTTCTTCTGTATGCCACTAGAAGAAATGGGGAAGAAGGATTTTGGGTAGGGGAGAATATCAAAGAGGTGCTTGGACCATCTCATCAGAAACAATTATCTGGAATTAGGTCTCACACTCAGAGACAGTGCAATGGATTACCATAATTAAAGATAGCAGACGTATGCCAGGCGTGAGGGCAGGCACAGATTTGGTGCTATCATTCTTGTTTTGTTTTTTTTACAAATGCAGAAAAGCCTAGAAGATAAAATACACACACAATGCCAATTCTATCTCAACAGTGGACAATGAGAAGGAGTGAATGGGCTAACAATTTCCATACTCCTCCACTCAATGCAGATTGTGGGAAAAAGTATTACCTGTAAGGCAACAATGGCCACTTGGTGGGTTGGATCATCTCCAAATGATATAAATGTAAATATTTATATTTAAAAGGTGGCTGTAAAACCTGTAAAAAAAAAAAAAGAAAAAGAAAGAAAGAAGACAATAAACAACTTACCATTAGAGTGCCACTGTTAAGCATGAAGAATGGTCACTGGAGTGAGGCAAAACCCGTGATGGGTGAAACCATATTGTGATGTAAGTAATGTGACACTGATGATGAGATCACATACAGGTGACAAAAACGTCAAGGGGCAAGAGAAGCTGTGAGATGACAAACGTGACGAAAGGAGACAAGATAAATGAGAAAAAGGTCATCACCCATAAAAGAATAAAGTAGCTGAATGGGATGTATAAATCAAACAAGCAAAGTGAAAGGAAATAATATACTAGAGGAAGAGGAATATCATGACAAAAATAGATGTTGGCAAGCCCCCCTGAAAAGGGGCAGTACAAGTAAGATGACCAACTGTACAGAACAAAGGAGACTATTTGGGTTAAAATGATTGTACAGGAAAGAAAAGGGGAAAAGAGATGAAAGGAGAAAACATTCAATCACCCTCCCAAGCAATCCATGTTTCAATGAGTAGTCAGAAAGAATTTCAATCTGAACTTGAAGTAAATAGTGCTGGAGGTGACCAAGACAAAAGTTAGTGACATCTTCCACAAGCGAGAAGGGGAAGAAATGTGGCTGGAGCATAAAGAAAGAGGTTGAACCACTTCATACACAGAGCTTCCTCTACAAAAGCTGTGAAGTCTGGGACTAGAGACTAAAAAAGTTGAAGTGAGGAGTAGGGGGGAGTTGGAAAGGCAGAGATACTAGGAATCCCATAGTGAGAGCAAATCCACTGGAAAAAACAGAGGACACAGAGACCACTCTGTGGAAATGGTCCAGGTCTAGGCAAGATAGTCGATCCACCACCAGGGTCTGAGCTTCTGAGACATTATAGAACAACTATAGAATATGATGACAGTGGTACAAAAGGAGAAAATCCAGAGCCAGGAAAATAGAGGTACTGGGAGCAAGTGCTGCCTTGTCAGGGGATGGATGAAATAACAGAGGAGGTGTTTGAATTTTTAATGATAAGACCAGACAGACAAGACAGAGTATGATGGCAAGCCTGCACAGCAGTCATGATCTAAATTATGTACAGATAAACATTTCCTTTGAAGAACAGTTTCTGGAAATGGACCAAGCACCCATAACTGCACCCCACGCGAACAGAGGCAGTAGCATAAAAGTTGTCATCCAGCACAGAACAACTTAATGTACCACCTGTGCTGTGCTCACCATGGATATGAGAACCTACATATATAAGTGGAATGCACCCCCACTGATGTACTACAGAGCCCTGAAGGGCTTCCAACAGATGCGTGTGAGGGTAAGGTGAAGGGATAGTGATGTCCAGGGTTGTGTGCGATCAAGAGACCCACCACGATTGCAAGAGAGGAAAAGAAGACAGTTAATTTCTGGATATACCAGCATGGGCAGGCCAGAAACAACTGAAGGGGATATGTATGGGCACATCTAAGAGGAACAAGAGAGATCACCTAAAAGAAAAATTCTCTCATGCAGTAAAGGAAAGAGACATGAAAGCCTTAGTATCAAAAGCTCTGTATCTCATATACAAAGAAATAGGATAAGCCTGTGACACATACAAAGTGAGAAAGACCTCTTAGTGAACAAGATATACGATAGGGGTTGAGAATAATTTCAGAGATGTGAACCAGCCACCCTTAACAAGATGACTCTAGAAAGAGAAAGGAGTCACAATGGAGGAAGTTGTGTTGAAAGGTGCAAGTACAGGCCAAATGTCCACAGAATAGCAGAAAAATGGGCCTCTAGAATGTAATCACTGAGCAAAAGCCCACCAAAATACAAAGAACATCACAGAATCAACGTTTTTTTATTTTGTTTAGTATTAAAACAAGCTTGGTACGTCTATGGTGCATAGGCCTAATGATGACCACGAAGAGTACAAAACAAAACCCATATATTGAGATTAAAAACAAGAACAGTAAACAGGACATATGTCCCAAAAGTACAAAATTTAAGTAAACAAAAGACAAACTGAAGATAATGAAGTGCCTAAGAAAAAATTAGTTTTTGTTCAGATTCTAGTGCTCATGAGACTCTCTGTGCATGAAGAATGTGTCACCCTCATATTTGTGGATGACTATAGTCTAATGATGATTACACCATAAGCTGGTGCAGAACACGTTGACATAAAACAAGGTTAGAAGTTTTGTCCAAGGCTTGTTGCTTGTTTTAAAGAGAAGTGAGTAATGTTTTTGAAGCATATTTTCATATTAATCAGTTTTGTACTAGTTCTGATGAAGAAGTAATGACAAAACATAGGTTGAAATAAGAAAGCTTTTTACATTACATAGAGAGGGATGGTTGTTTTTCTAGCTTTACTGACAAGACATAATCACATTACTCCAAGGCAGATCAAAACTATATTTACAGAACATTATACCAAGATCAGTGAGAATCACATTACAGAACAACATAAAAACATGAAAAATGTTATTAAAAGGAACGAACTTTCCACTTTTGGTCCAACGGAGAAGTACCATTCAGATTTTTGCGAGTCAATCCTTCTACATACTTCTCAAACTTCTCAACCTCAGTAATGAATCTGTCTAAGACAACTGGGTCTGAGAGTGGATCTTTTCCTAGGTGAAGCTGCTTTTCCTGTTCCATCTGTTGTTTCTTCAGTTTCAACTCTTCAACTGATATAACCTAAAACAATATGATATTTTCTAAACGTCATTATTTTCACTTTGTGATTTACTTTCACAAAGATAACTCTTCACATCTTATTTTAACACAACTTTTCATACCATGTGCATGAAAATATCAACAGACTACTATTATAAAGTGGTAATGCTTATAATAGATTAGTTGTATATAATTTATACAACATATTACACACATGAAAATAACAGATTCTAAAATTCTAAAGTAGTAATGTTTATAGTTGATTAGCTGTATATAATTTATTCAATATGTTACATGCTTGAAAATATCAACAGATTGTACTATTCTACAATAGTAATGTTTATAATGGATTAGTTATATATACTTTATTCAACATATTACACTTCCAAAAAAAAAAACAACTAAGCACACTCTAGAAAAAATGATTTTATTCAAACTCAACATTTCATCTTACACCTTTCCTAAGGGTTACACATATAAACTGATAACTGAAAAGAACATGCACAACAATTAAAACCAACTTAACAATGATAATATTGTTTTATCACATGCACATTAAAAAGAATTAGAATCACTAAGCAACAGAAAGCTATAAACCAAAAAAGTAATTAATTACAAACACTAAGAAGTATTTCTGTTTATTTTTAAGTTTATAACATTGAAACAGGAGACATTCTTTGAACTTAAGATCAAGGAAACTTTTATAACATTAATAACTTACATCCTACTTTTAAATTTACTGTTTTTTGCACACTGGGAATTATTTCAGGGCCTTAACATTCCTTGATACCATGGTTTCTGTTGAAAATTATCAACTTGTTACTAAAATGTACCAAAAACCATATTTTAAATCATTGATTTCACATTTCAAATATCACCATCCACCTAACACTAAACAGGGTATAATCATTTGACAACTTAAAAGAACTGAAAGAATCTGCAATAGAAAAACAACCACAAAGTTGGAGTTAATAAAACTTACTTGTTGTAATTTTTTACTGTGATAACTATATTTTGTCAATGAACCCCTCCTTAAGTGTTTATGCAAAGCTATCAACAAATTTGAATTAAATATCTGTATTGTACTTTTTCATTTGGCTTTCAATAAGAAAAATGACTGTAAAGCAAAAAATTGTGTTGCTAGAAACAATGGACTAGATAACTCTTGTACTGTTAAAAATGTAATATATGAAGTGACATGCACTGAAGTGTGATAAGTATACTGGTGAAGTCAGTCATCAAGTACATGACTGTTTTAAGGAACACATCCATGTCACCATGAATCTTGATTCTAAAGAGGCCAAAAATTGTACAGTAGATTAAACAGCATTTAACATTAAGCTCTCAGCAATATGTAATAGTTTCCTTGATTGTAAATTTAAACTCTCTACTGTTTCAATCTTATAAACATAAAATAAACAGAAATAATTCTTGTCCTTTTAATTAATATTTTGTTTTATTTTTTGTTCAATAGCTCGCAATTTTCTGTCACTTAGTCATTCTAATTCTTTTTAATATGCATGTGACAACACATGACATTACTGTTGCTAAGTCAGGTTTAAACTGTTGTGCATGTTTGTTTTGGTTATTTGTTTTTTTAAGTGTGATTAGTCATTTTTTTGTAAACATGGTTTCAATCCTCTAGTCTGCTCTACAAAAGTTAAAAACTGATAAATTATTTTTCAATGTATGGTGAACCAATTTTCAATATGCATTGTAATTTGATGTAATGGTTTATATTTTCGTAAATATATTTAGACAATACTTCATAATACTATTACTCAGTTTATTACAGAAATGCAAGTATTTATTTTAAAAGCCTCTCCATCTTTCATCATTAGGATACACATTTGGTTTACTCAGAAAGCTAGCTGACATATACCTAAAAAAAATTAGTATCTTACAAGGTTATATACATCTATAATTTTAATATAGACAGTTTAAGAAAAAGCAAATCTTATCAACTACTCTTAATAAAACAGCTTTCACTGCTTTATGATAAACAATAATCATCTACATATGGAATACAGACCACTACAAAAATGTCTAAAATAAAAAGTATCTGTTTTTTGAACAAGTAAATTGTGGTATTTATACAAAGGAAATATAGTATTAATTGTGGAATAAGAACAAAGGACTACGCTTGAAACATATTTCACTAACATAATTATAGCTTCAGAAGAATGTAAAAGACTGATCACTACTTTTAAATAAGTAGTATCACAGTTCCATAAATATTATTTTATCATCTTGATAGAAAATTGGATTGATTTCTTAAAAAATAATTTCCTTAAAATTCCTCATGTTATAACATTAGCCTATGTTATTATTCATCTTTATCACAACTGAAGTCTACTTACTTCCGGTTGAAGAACAGGTTGCTGCTCTTTGTTCAATGTTCCAGTTTCTGGGGTGCTGGAAAGCAAGTCCTCCCGGTCACTGATGCTGTCAATTGACTGCCTAGAGTGAGCAGGACTACAAGGAACAGGAAAAGGTGCTGTAGTTTTAGAAGGTGTGTCCAAAGGAGTTCTATTACTCAACATTTTTCCAGTTTCTTCATGAATCTCTTGTTTCACTGGAGACTGTGGGGTGCTTGCAGGCAATGGTTGCAGTGGGGATCCTAAACTATCTGGATGAGGCTGAGCAGAGACTTCCTGTTGGACATTAGGCTGCTGAATGGATGTTGTCTGGTGTTGAGGATGTTGCTGAGAGACAAGTGAAGGAACAGAGCTCACTTGCTGCCCTTGCATTTGGTACTGCTGGTAGTATGGATACTGATAATAAGGATCCTGCAACTGTGCTGACAGAGTTCCTCCTGGAACATTAGAATATTGGTAGGCTTGTGAGTAGCCAGTAGTTAGTTGTTGGGCTGAAGGTGCCACAGAAATTGCTCCTTGGGATTGTTGTGGGATAGGATGTGGTACATTCTGGGTTCCAACAGAGTAAGGCAGAAATTGTCCATGACCATATGCAGGCTGAAGTTGACTAGCTATAGTAGGCTGAGGATGTTGGTAGTGTGACTGTAAGCTCTGATTGGAGGAATCACTTGCAGGCTGTGAATAAGGGTAATGTTTTGGTAAAGTTTGAGTAGATGCAGAACCAGCAAGGGATTGTGAATACTGGTACTGGGTTGTTACATTTGGGGTAAAAGATACATTTGAAGGCTGAGAATACTGGTACTGGATAGGTAAGGACTGAGTAGATGAAATACCCGCAGGTTGACTGGGCTTGTAGTGGGTTGGTAAATGCTGGGTGGATGAAACACCAGAAGGTTGGGGATAATGATATTGGGTTGGTAATGGTTGGGTTGATGGAACACCAGATGGTTGAACAGGCTGGTACTGAGTTGGTAAGGGTTGGGTAGATGAAACACCAGAGGGTTGGTACTGACTTGGTAGGGGTTGAGTAGATGAGATAGAGGGTTGAGGATACTGATACTGAGTTGGGAAGGTTTGAGTGGATGAAGCACCTGAAAATTGAGGTTGCTGATATTGTGTATGTATTCTAGCAGATGGTTGATATGCTGGTTGTAAAGGCTGTAAGGAGGGTCCACTTGTAGGTTGAGACTTATGGTGTTGTGGGTATGTGGTACCAGACGATTGAGGAAGTTGATAACAATCTTGAAAAGTCTGAGTGGATGATACACCAGCAAGTTGAGATTGCTGGTATTGTGTATGTATTCCACCAGATGGCTGAGGAGGTTGGTACTGACTTGGTAGATGTTGACTGGATGAACCACTAGAAAATTGGGATTGCTGGTATTGCGGGTGTATGTCCTTGGATGACTGGGGAGGTCTGTATGGGATGTTTACTGTCTGTGTTGTGGGTATATCACCTGAAGAAGGAACTGAAAACATGGTCCCATGTTGGGGCTGCTGAAGCTTTGAGTAATTCTCATAATGGGTAAGCTGGGACTTGTTCATGTTTTCTCTTGCAGATCTAGTGCTAGGTGTTGAAGCTTGAACATCATAATGATGCAAGCCTTGAAGATAAGGATGTCCAACCTGTTGACCATGTTGTGAGAGCACTGAAGCAGGTTGCTGAGGAATTTGTTGAGACTGTGGATAAACATTCTGAGAAGCTTGTTTGTAATAATCGTAGCTATAGACTGATGTGTAACTAGAGGTAACACACATGCCTGTGGTAGTGGTTTGTTCAGACCCAACAGGAGCTGGCCTATCTTCCATAGTCACTGAAGATTTAGATACTTCCAAGGCATTTGGTTGTGACCCTAAAGGAAGCTTCCCCACTTCTTGTACTGATTTTTGAGAAGGTCTCTTAAGAACTTCTGGAGGCATTACACCACGAGAAGGGTCCAAGCTTGGAGGTACTTGGCTTGTAATTACACCAACCTGAGGCTGTGTCCCAACAGAAGGCACAATGGAACTTCCAGGACCCTGGTTGCCTACAGAAGTACCTACAGGTGGTAGAGAGTGGCCTGTCATGTAAGGCAGGAAATCTTTCAGTTTTGGACCTGTTACAGGAGCAATTGGACTACCATAACCTCCTGATCTACCTGTTAAAAAGAAATACTAATCAAATCACCAAATAATTTCTACCATTATACATTCATCATTCTTTTCTTTATGAAATCATCAATTATTCTTTAAAAAAATATTTCAATTAAACTCAATCGTGAATCATGGATGCATAACAGTTAACAATTAATAAAATTTAAGTGTGAAATAAGGAAATGCTTTTAACTCTCTCGCTATGAGCTCGGTTGATTCAACCTAGATCTCGACCCCATATTGACCTTTAGAATTTCCATACAGTAACTTTTAGTATGTTTTGTGTATCTTCACAGAATTTTGCAAGCATTACAAGTCTTTTGTAGACAAAAAATCAGAATTTTGAATAAAGTATTATTACTAAAAAATTTCTCCATGAATATATATAGAGTAAAACTGTTGACTGCTCCGAGTGCAAAGTGATCTTCATATTAATTGATGACCACCAGCTCCTAACTTTCTAAGTAGCCAATGCAAGTCTTGTTATATTTCATTCCAACAATAAAACTAGTGGATGAAACTGTTCGAAACTTCATAAAAACTTTCATAAATGCATGTAGTTTAACTTAAGAAACATAAAGCCTGTTACTTTTGATAAATTTAGTTTTTTGCATTATGATCAAGGTACACTGTTGGTATGGTTTGTTGTTTAACTGTTAAATAACTTCGCTCTTCGGGTACACTGTTGGTATGGTTTGTTGTTTAACTGTTAAATAACTTCGTTCAGGTACACTGTTGGTATGGTTTGTTGTTTAAGTGTCACATAACTTTGTTCAGGTACACTGTTAGTTTGTTGTTTAACTGTTAAATAACTTTGTTCTTCGGGTACACTGTTGGTATGGTTTGTTGTTTAACTGTTAAATAACTTCGCTCTTCGGGTACACTGTTGGTATGGTTTGTTGTTTAACTGTTAAATAACTTCGTTCAGCGGGTACACTGTTGGTATGGTGTGTTATTTAACTGTTAA